ACTGTTTTGTATAAATTCCACAGTGCTATCAAATATGTTTTAAAAAATATGTGTTTATATCTTTCTCTGTTTTTATTCACAAATTAACTTCACAAATTAACTTCAGATTGTCCTGAAATAGATCGGAAAATTGACGTGATTGTAAAGTTTTCCAGCTTGTGCTATTCCGTATTCTATTTGTAAGGAACTCAAAATTTCTCACTAGACTCTCACTATTCCTTAACTAGGCGTACTCGGATTTGAACAGACAGGTCTTAAAAATAGTTATTGGAGGAAAATTTTTGGAAAACTTACTTTCTTCTTTCCTAACTATTCAAGAAACATGTAAAATCGAAAAAAAAAACAGTCTGAAAATAAGAACTTATTTCTTGAAACCACCACTGCTATAAATTGAGAATTTACAGAATCAACAGGTATCACGAGACATTGAATTTCAAGATGTTCAACATATTCTTTAAGGGCTGTGTCATAGGAATAGTAAGAGGTCGAGAAAAAGGAAGCTGAAAGGAATTATAAAGAAATTACCATNCCATCCAGTTAACGTGTGACTATAATTAAGTAAATAGTCTGTCTTTCGTCAGATTACTGTTAACGACGATCAACAAAACAAATAAATATAATATCGGGACTATTTCTTTTTTCCAAAGTTTATTGATCTTTGTTACCAAAAATTATTTAGCATAACATCATTCTTTCTAATTCGTGTCTGACTGCTTTCAAGTGAATTTATTTATAAAAAAGTGTCAGTACAATACTTGGCTTTTGTTTGTTTCAATTACTACTTCTTATCAAAAAACAAAAATGTTGTGGAAAATAATAAGATTCAGTGAAAAACTGGCAACCATAAAGGCCTCAGTGACATAATGATAAATATGGCCTGGTCAATGAAGAGAGAACATTGACACCACCAATCTGAAAAAAGATGAAGAGATTTGAATTTTGGCTATACGTCACCATAAACTTTACTTCAGATACAACGTGACAATGTTTTTACGGGTTGCATACTTCCATGTGAAAATTTTTGGATTTGATTTTTCACATGATGCCGTTAGGCATGGCCAATATTTAATATTGATGGCACGTCCAGTCCATATCATATTATGTCAATGAAGGACTATTTTCGCTCAGTTGAAAACAGCACTGTGATTATCCTAGGCTGATTTGCCGTTGATTATACTGTACTTAAATGGTCTGATCAGGCCGCATATCGTTTTACATTTCCAAAAAAAATTGAATGAAAAAAGTTCACATGATAGATGAAAGGTAAAATATCTTCAGATTTAGTGAAATATAATTTCAAAAAGCATACCTGTGATGTGCATAACTTCTTCAAGTGAATTCTTATCCAACAGTGGAAAATCATACATTTCTTTCTCTGTCTTTTGAAATACAGTTTTTATCTTTTACGGATAACCAGTACGATGTACCTATTTACCAAATTTAATAGACATTAACCGAGATAACTTTAATATTATGCAAATCGGAATAAAATATTTTTCACACCACACATTTCTGACCAATCAAATGTTCTCCACTAAAACCAGTGAAATGGCAATACTTGGCAACACTTAATAACTTCTGTGTGACAATCATTTATATTGATTATAGCATTCTACAAATATATGTTGATTCAAAACTTCTTAATCTATAAAATTATATTGAGGTTAGGGAGTGAACCATTTCCAAATCATAAGCTACCTTTCATGATTTTTGTCCAGTAAAAAAATCTTATGCGAATAGACCTTTCCTTAATTATTCGACAGTCTTTTAGTGTATTCCCTACATAACAGACTTAAATAATGAAATTATGTTGTCGTCGTTTATCATTTTCAGCGCTGCAGAATGAATACCTCAGGCCGTAAATTTCATAGGATAGTTAGAAGCAACAAGAATTCATTTTCCAAACTTTCATCAATTATTTTTCAACGCTCATGCTCTATTACTTTGTTCCATGTTGGACCATTTGAACTTTTTTATCACTCATAATCTATATCTTTTATATTCCTATTTGACCTTTAGAACATTTTATGTAACTTTGGCGGTGAATACACGTTAACGGGAACGTAAACATATTATTTAAGTTCTTTTCTAATCAAACCTTATACGACATGGCAACGTTGAAAAAAAATCACGAAAGGCGTCCAATTACACGTCCATTGAAGGTCAAGAAATAATAGCATGGAGAAGAAACTATCTAAGAAAAATTGACGAATTTCGGAAGCTCAAAAAAAAATT